TGAAAAGATAAGAGGCTCTTATGTTATATTCTAGCTTGTCAGTATCGTCAATTTGAGTTCCTAATTCGTGTGAAACTATAGACTTAGTACTTTGATATCAAAACATTTAATTGGAACCAGTGCTGCATTCAACATACCACGTAACAAACAAAAATTTATGTTCAACTGTGTTTTTTAATATTAACTTTTAAATTAAAAAATTGAGTAAGGTATATCACTAATATTTGATTTATAAACTACAGTTTGATACCAAACTTATTGACATAAATTAATGAAATAGTAGTTCAATAAAATTTTTAATCTGAGTCAACAAACATTATGAAATGGCCTTTCACTGTGACTCATCTGGAAAGGGTTAATGTGATTTTGAATTTTTTTTTTAGAATTGGTAGTTGTTGAAATTGTTTTCTAAGTATATTCAAAATTTCATAAAAAGATATCTTGAATGCTGAATATTTCATTTGTTTCTTGAATTTTTACAAAAGTAGTCTAGAAAATAAATTATTTTAATGTACAGCACTTTTATTTATATGTATTTATTTATCTAAGCATGAAGGATCAGTACCCCTAGAACAGTTGGTTGAACATTGTCCATTTCTAGAAGAATTAGACATTGAAGGATGGGACTGCACGTAAGAAAATGTCATTTAGTTTTCTTTTGAAATGTTTTCTTGGAAACATTAGATTTTCAAGTTTTCAACAAAGTATTCTAATCATTACATTTCTTAGTTTTGGGGTGTTTGAGTTTTGGAGCTTGGTATATAATATACATAATAGTAAAACACCCGCATCTTCTGCAACTGAAGATTTTTTTTTTTATTTGAAAGTGAGGTGTGATGTACAAACCTTTATATAAATATTACCTGAATCTTAGTTTACTTAATGAAGTAGGCATCCTCACTTGTGATATACACTACTTTTGTGTATATCTTATTTTTTTATCATTTAATTTTATGTGATGCCTTCTGTTTATTTTTTAAACTTATACTTTATCGTTCAAGTATATTGTCAATTGGATCTTATAAAGGATTCTAGAATTACAATACATTGTATTTGATTGGAGACTTCTGAACTGCATCTGAGCAAAATGTACAAGTCTTGTATAACAAGCTTTGTGAACAATTAAACAAAAGCTTACACTAAAATTAATTGAAAGAGCATTTATGAAGTTGTTGACTTGATAGTGTTGGTTGAAAAGTAGTCATGTGATAATAAGGTTATGAGGGTTAATTTTTTCATGGGATATGTAGGCTTAAATTATTTTGAAATCAGTTTAATGTTGTGTTTGTTGTAAGTATTCTTTTAACCCTCTCACTACAGGCAGTTCTAAGTGCACATATCATGACTTTTTTAGCGGGTTACATTCATATTTTAATTAAACTAATTTACTATCATTGTATGTCAATAAACGTACCATCAAAACATAGTTAATAAAGCAAATTTTAATATTATATAAGTTTTAAGTTCTTAGTTTTATAAAATAATAGTTAAAAAAAATCCTCAGTCTTCCCTTGTATGAGAATTGGGACATTTGCTCTCATGGTCTTCCCTCTTTAATTTATTTATCACCTCCCCTGAGAAGTATGGAATTTTACATCAGTTACCTAATTATAGATATTACTCAGACAAAGCATAGTTTTATAGCCTTCAATCCTATTTGTTTAAGGAGCCATAGACTAAAAAATCAGTCTCATTTGCCATGGCTACCTGTCACATCCTCTCTTTCATAAATTGCCTATAGCTTTCTCTGACGTATTACATTATGTTGTTTTCTGTACATAGAATTGTCTACTTTGCCTCACGGGAATCACATTAACAAGTTTAGCTGAATTCTTAAAGGCTCTTATTGCATAGTTAGAAAGCCAGAAAAAATATGGTAGCTATAAGATATTGTTTGTTTTATGCATGTTATTATTCTGTGTTTTTAGGTGCATAATTTAATTAAATAAAAGTTATTTAGTGTAGTAGACCATTAGTATAAAAATGTAGGCTTAGGTTTCTTCGACAGTTGACAGCAAAAAAAATAAGAGACCCAGGTAAGTGCTATATGTATTGTTTTTGTGTGTATTCTTTATTAATATAAAAGTAACTAACATGTAATAATCAGAAACTTATTAGGTTGGATAAGGTAAGATAATGAAACAATAAATATAAAAATTATTTGCAAGATATGCTTGTGAGCAGCTCATGCATTACATAATTTAATAGGGTAAAGTGAGCTGCATGTTGCTGAGTGGCTTACAACTTGTGTCGTGGGATATTTAATTAGACACAGTTCAAATTAAGTATTAACAATTGTATACTGTTATGAGCTTTAAGCTGTTAAGGATAAACAATTGTGTTTTGCAGTCATTCTATAAAGAAAAAAGGTTAATTTAGATTGCTTTCCTAACTTATTATGGTGGTTACAAGGTAGGTCAAATGGGTATAGATATAGGGTAAAGAAAATAACATAAAATATAAATTTCTTCTGAAAAAACGTATGATATTTACTTAAAAGATTTTAGAGATTAAGTAAATGAAAATTGAAAATTATCATATCAAGAAAAGTATTTTTAATCTTAACATGAGGATCATTTTGCACTTTAAAAATAAAATGTAAGTACATAATATACTTATTTTAATAATCAAATTTCAGTTTTTGATAGTGGCAAATTTTATCTTAATTATTACAAGCTTGGGTTTACCAAAATACATTAAGCATATATAACAAAAAGTGAATAGTAATGAAAAATGGTGCTTTTGGTTTAGCATGTAAACTCTGTTATTTTTTTATATAGGAAATCAAAACATGGAAATTGTGGAGGCCAAGATCTCGTACCAGTCTCCAGATTTAAGCATCTCAGGGTACTCACACTTTCATACTTGGCAGGGGTTCGTCATGGAAAGTTTCTTGAACTGATAGGGAAAAACTGTCAACTTCTGCGACAGTTAAGGTTACATTATGTTGGGGAATATGCTCACATCACATATCTGGCTTCTCTCTTAGTGACCTTAAGAAATCTTGATCGTCTGATTGATCTCAGGCAAGTTTTCATAAGGTGTATGTATAAGTACATTACATCAGAATTGCAATGAATTCTCGTTAATATTTTATCTCAAATGCATAACTAGATATCATTGTTTATGTAATGTGTTATTATTGCATACAAAATATCACTTTGTTTATTGATTTGTTTCTCTTCATTGGAAGTTTTGAGTTCAGTTCTTTGTCAGTTCATTTTTATAATTGCTTGAAATTTAAGTATGATTTATTGTTTTTTTTTGTATATATTAATGTTTTTTGTAGTGCCATAAAAAAAATTGAAAGACCATGCTGATCATAAGAATTGTTTTGTCCATCAGTAAATACATCCATGATGTAATGATGCATGTTTTTTGTTTGTATTATACAATCAAACAGAAAAGTAAATTGTAGTCAAGGAATTTGGCACGGGTATATGTTATAAATGTAAATATAAAATATATATTACAACCTACTGCACGTTTGGATGAAAAGGTATATCATATAGTGTGTATGCAACTGGTATAAATGCTGCTAAGTTTTCACACACAGACACACATTAACCTCAAAAGTGATTCATTTTAACCATATGTGCATAGGTGGGGTCAAAGTACATATGTCATGACTTTTTTATGAGTGCAATTCAACAAGCCATTATGTATTTAATGTCAAAGTTATCAACTGTTCATTTTACCATATGTAGATGATTTAGTGACAAATTGTGGTTGAGGAGAGTAAATACCAGATATAATATACAGCAATACTGAAAAAAAAACTATTCTAGTGGTTTTGAAAATGCAATATGCAAACAATGTGGTGGCAAAGTAACAAAAATATATTTACTTTTCCCATAAACATCATCTTTCACTCCAATTTGTTGGAGTCTGATTCAGATTGATGTCATCAATATACAGACATATCTTGAGTACTATAGATATTTTTGTAACACACCTGATTTTTTGTGTACAACGAATTGATGTAACACTTTTTTAAGCATTACTAAACATACAAATAAACTTACTAAAAATGCTAATATATTTTGAATGATAAGATAGTTTCAGAATATAGATTTTTGACACACAGAAAGCATTGTTTGTACTGAATACTGATACCTTACCTAAACAGTTGGTTTACCAAACCACCAAAATATGGTTAAATTATCATAGCATATTGTGCAATAGCTAAGATAATGCTAAATAGGGAGATGGCATTAACTTTGCATTTATACTTCCATAAAATTCTTAAAACACACAGAAAACTCCTTTTAGACATAATTTCCGAGACGATACCTTACCTGCACTTACTTAATAGCTTTCCTGAATTTGAGCTCCCCTCTATACATGCAATCTTCACTCAACACTAGCCTTAAGACTCCCACCTAACATCACATGTTTACACATGATATAGCTGCATTGTAGCATGGAAATAACTATGCGACAACCCCCCGCCAATAGGAGTGTGACACCTACCTTTGCTTAATCTGATACCCATATTGTCTTGATTCTACCTCAGCCTTTTTTCTTGATTTTGTGACTATATTTTTCAGGTATGTTTTTTACCTATTCAGTTACTTTTACTACTACTTTGGGGCATACATTCCTCGTCCTCTTTCCTTTGTTACCTCGTATGACTTGGCATGACTTTGTACTGTATTGATTTTCTTCTTAAGTTTTTCTTCAGATTTGGGGGTCAGATCCTCTTTCTTTTGTTCATCTTTCTTAGGCTTAGGTTTTCCTATCTTCGTCTTACACACACACACTGCCCTTTTCTGTTATTGTTCCTTCTTTAATCTTCTTTCAGGGGTAATCCACCATTCCCCTGTGGGATATTCAGTGGATGCTTATTCACTTATCTTTTCTATAGTGGCGGGTTTATCTTCCTCACCATTTTCACTTTTTATTTGGTTGATTTTTTTTGCTAGAGTTGGTTGGGGTGTGATGACCTTGTTTCTCAATTGCTTTTCCTTTCCTTATATCTCGTATGCTTTCTTTTGGCTCCTTTCATCTGCCTGTATGATTTTACTGGTATGGTTGTATCTCTGGTGTCATAAGGTGGGGCTGCATGTCAATGTTATGCCTTATCCTCACTGGTTTACCATCTTTCCCATGCTCCTTCTTTGCATCTCTTTCTGTCTCCTGTCCTCCTGCTTTCTCTTCTCTCTCTCTCTGTCACCACTTTCAATTCATGTCCTTCGAGCCCCCCCAATGGCACAGCGGTATGTCTGTGGACTTACAACGCTAGAAACCGGGTTTCGATACCAATGGTGGGCAGAGCACAGATAGCCCATTATGTAGCTTTGTGCATAACTTCAAAAAAACAATTATGTCTTTCGACTGCTTGTAGACTTTGGCACTGTCAGTTTTGGCAGTGAATGTCTTATAGGCCCTCTGTTTGCAGCAAATTATTGAGTACTGGGATTTTTATCAGAGAACCTTCACCTTTGTCTTTTCCTCTCCTCTTCCAGTGTCTCTTGTTCCCATTATTTTACATCCTCCTAAGAATCTTGTTTCTTGCTAACATTGGTCCAAGGCAGTATTGGTCCTAATGGCTACAGTTGCTATTGGATGGGTCTCATCCTTTTTCCAGGTTTTTCTTCCCATCTTTTCATGGTTCCCAGGGAATCTGTAGATAGGTGTCAAGTCTTGCATCTTTCATGTCTCAGTTGGTTTCTCATCTTGCTTTCAAATGGGGAATTTCTCACCCTGTGGTGGTCTTTCACCCCAGGTCTTGGGAAGACTGAGGTGGACATCTTGGATGCTTCTTTTCTCATTTGGCTGTGTCCCAACAAGCTTCCTAAAGCCACTCTCTTTTTTTAGAGATGGGATATCTGGATTGGTTGATTCATTTTGAAGGAGTCTCATCTCGCACCCATTTTATTTCTCATTCATTTGGGTGTTTTTTATTCATATATCTGCAGAGCTCAACCTTCTACTCTTCTCTTGAGGGACATGGAGCGATTGGTTTCCTATGCCATATCTTCTTACCTCACTGTGCAGCTGGTTCTCTCTCTTTTGGGGATGTGGGTTTCAATGGGATCTCGTGTCCCCTTGGGTCATGCTCATTTGTGACATCTGCACATTCTCTGGATCTTTGCTTCTCGTCAACCTTCTTCCTTCCTTACTCAAAAACATCATCTGGTGACTTGATCAAACTACTCCCCTGGTGGGTATTCCTCTACCATTTGTCCAGGTCTTCTTCTGTTTCCAGATGCCACCTTGATGAGATGGGGGACATGTCTCATCTCTAACATGAATTTGGTTTGTTGATACCACGACATATCATCCCTTCAAATCCATCTCTTAGAACCTTTAGCAGTACATCAAATTTTGGATTTTTTTAGGAAGGTCCATAGATGCCTCTTGATGATACATAGAGTAAACTTTGCAGTTGTCTCCTTTATAAATCACCAGGGAGACTTCATCTTTCTCTTCCTGTTTCAGTCCTAATAACCACTTTTTCTGGGCCCATTCTATACTAATAGCTTGTTCTATTCTGGGTGCTGAGTCTTGTCATGGATCATTTCTTGAGGCCTGTCAAGGTGCTATCTATGGATTGGTCCCTCGTTCCTCTGATGTTCAAGTTGATGCACTTTCATCTGGACACTATTCTTCTCGATGTTTTTGTCACTCTTCTCAACACTCTACTTCCCCTTTTCTTATCCCCTATTCCTCTTCCCTCAGTTTTAGCTGGGGATGCATCCCTTCAAGACTGATCCAACTTTTTTCTCTCCATGCCTTCCCTCCTACTCATGTTTTCCCTCATTCTGGACATTCCATGTAGTCCTCCTGATAACTCCTTACTGGCAAGCTCAGCCATGGTTTCTTCTATTGTATCTCCCATCACCCACCCCCCACCACCACTTCCAGTACATCTTTCTTTTTTGCCTTATCTTGAAGCGATGGTTGTGCTCTACAGTCTATAGGTAGTCAGCTACACCACATATAAACACGTGATGGGAGTGTCAAGGCTAGTGGCAAGTGAAAATTGTGCATATAGAGGGCAGCACAAATTGAGGAAAGCTATTATGTGAGAGGGGGTAAGTATTTCTTGGAAACACATTTTCAGTGTAGGAAAATGTTAACTTTTAACATGATTGTATGATCTTGCAGGGAAATTTTTATGAAACATTAGTTTTTTATAGGACTTTTTGCAAATTTCCATTATAAGAGTATCAGGAATAGCAAATTCCATAAAACTGGATCTCAGATAACCTGTGATGACAGACAGGAAAGAAGCAACTAGAAAAATATTTCTAAAATATGTAAATTTTGCTACAAACCCTATTTAATGATATCTTACTTGTTTTTTGTTAACAAAATTTGAGGTGAATAACTAAAATATTATCAGCAACTTTAGTATGTGAATTTCTTGTGTAACAAAACTGGAAGCTAAAACTGAATTGAAAAAACATTCTTTCCTACAGAATGATAATTTAAAAGTAAAGTATAAATTTTCATAATAATGGCTTGTTTATAATAGTTTATTATTGTTTTTTTTTTTTTAAGGATAGGACATAAAGCTTTAGACCTTGATTCACAGAATTTTTGGACTGCCATTCAGGAAATAAAGAGTTTACAACGTCTTTGTCTCTTAACCTATGAAAGTGGTAAAATAAATGCTAATATGGTCGTAAGATCTCTTTTGCAAGTAAGTATATTTGGGTAGGTGCTGTTTTAATGTTTTATTATTAAAAGACTAGTTTCTTTTCAAGCATTACTATAAGATTTCACTTGGTAAGTTAGCTTACATCGACAGATTAAATTATGTTTAGATATACCAATGTATGTTCTTTTGCAAACAAATAAGTCTGGACATAATTTCAACTTTTGAAAATATATGAAAAAGGCCTTTACAGTTGCATGGTATTAGGAATTTAGATCATCAAGAACAAAATAAGGTGTGAAGTTGTTAATTTAAGCCTAATGTAAAAAAAAAAGTATGTTCAGGTATGTAAATATCAAATAACCATTTGTTTGGTTAGAATCATAAGGAAGCTGATAATTTAAAGGAAAAGACATTTTTTCTGATAGTTTTGCTTATTTGAAGGGACTCAATAAATTTAATATTTAAATGAACCATTGAACAGTGGTGTTACTAATTTTTGATATTGATAAATTAATTAATTTTTAACAGATTATCTTATAAAATAAATATTCCTTGAATTTTGTCCAATTCGTAAAAATCTTTCTTTTTGTGCAGTTGTCACGTATTTTTGTTAGAATGTAATATAAGTATAAACATTTGGACTTTGGGAAAGGAAGCTTGTGAAGTGGATCTACAAAACCACTTAAAAGTCAAACCTCATACCAGTGTGATCAGTAGGTGTATAGCATGATACATATATGCATTGGTATAGGATTCCATGATATGTAGCAAGAGATGGTAGAAATACAGCTGATATGCTGTCTATGATAGTTATAAGCTGGGAAGAAGTCAAGCAGTACTAAACCAAAGCAATGAAAATATAATTGGGGTTCTGAATTTATTTTTCCATATTCATAATGCATTTGTCTAAGTATTGGTAAATAATATTCTCTTTCAGGTAGTTTTTTTATTTCAAGTATCTTTAAAAAGTAAAATGAATATGATTTAGGAAGAACACAGCCAATTGGAGGTTTAGTATTCTTTTATTGGTAGGAGCATTCATTTGACATCAAAATCTCTTTTAAATGCTATCTTAGTATTTTCCTTCTTATAACCTTAAGTTATTCTACTTTCATATGGATCTGAAATGACTTAGTTATTTTAATGATTTGTATTGTATAATACAAAATTTACAAAGGAAGTTTCAACTTTTCCTAATTGTATGTACCTTCTCTTAACAAATATTACAGCTTCCGAATCTACATGTCATTCACATCCACTCCATGACTTTCAACAAAATAGTTCTAAATAAAGCCATAACCAGGTGGGTTGTGCTTGTTAATCTCAGTTTCTCCTTTTCATACACATTTTCTGTGCTGTTGTAATAAAAATTAGTAACTTTACATTGACTAAATTATTTAAAAGCAGAAGTAAATAAATATATTGTCAATGAAATCTCATTCACTTGCACTTATGATAGCTTCATTCTTCTCCTCAGCTGTGTATGGGACAGATGTGTTTAATTTTCATATAATTTCGCTTTGATGAGATTTGCATTCATTAACAAAACTTTGATTTTTATCTCAACAGCTTTACTTCATTATAATAATTTCTCAAGTGACAGTGACTTCAACTTTGTCCTGTGTGAGTGACATTTTTTGCATGTAGGCCCTCTTTCTCTTTGCTTCTGGAGGCTCACTTTCTGTTGGGGATGTTAAAGCCTTTGTTCAATGTGTTGTGGATAACTGCATACTTTATAGCCGTACTCCTCCCATCACTTCCAACTTCTTTCTCACACCTGCTCAATATTTGATACCTCTGGGAGTTTTCTTCATCTCTTCTCACAGTGACCTCAGCCTTTCTCCTGCAAGCTATGGAGTGTCTGATCACCAAGATTGGCACTTCATATTCTCATCCTGTGCAAGAGGTTCTTTTGCCTTTGGGAACTCTGGCTTCCTGCAACTCCTCATTTTTTGGAGGTGCACACACACATGCACCTCTTCCAGTAGACCTTCTAAGACCAATGGACCATTTTATGGGTTCCATTGTCCTCATTTGTAAATATCTCTTATCTGCTACTTGAGGAATTGTCATAGTAGCTAGATCATGCCAACATTATTCACCAGTTACCTTGCTTTCCCCAAGACTAGATTTCCATCTCTTCTTCAATGCTTCCCTCTCATGTTGGGGCTCATCCCTGAATGACATATGGCATTTGAATACAGAACGAGAGTTTACTACACCTCAATGTGCTCGAATTTCTAGCTATTTTTTGTCATTCTCCTATTTCCTGCCCTTTCTGGTGGATTGTTAGGTCATAGTTCACTTCAACAATTCCTTGGTCATTTCTTTCATTGACCATCAATGAGGCACCCATTAGTGGTCTTGGTCAGGCATGCCTCTCTTAGATGCCTCTCTACTCCAAGCTTCCTCTCTTCTGGTACTAGTTCTTCATCCTTCAACTCTGGCTATTGATGCTCTCAGTCAGGACTGGCCTCACAGTTTTTGCTCTATGTCTGTCCTCCTCTTTGTCTCCTTTCTTAAGTCCTTGTGCAATACTTCTTATTGGGTTCTATTTGTGGCACCTGTTTAGCTAGCTCAGCCTTGGTTTCTTACGCTTCATTGTTTGGAATCAAGACCGCCTTTTTTTCTACTCAGTATCCTCCCCCACTTTCTTCAACCTCATACATCACTGTTTCACCAAGGGATATTGTCTTTCCATCTTCATGTGTGGGATTTCTCTGGTCCATCACCCTTTGGGCTGGGCTCTTCTAACCTTTTTCTTGCCACATTCCTGTGCCCCAACCACACTACACATATTGGCAAGTGCTCAGTGATGTTATCATTCTGCCCATCCATATGACACTGAGGACTCATTTGTCACTTTCCTCTTTACTTTATGGGCAAAGAGCATACCCTGGTTGAGACAAGATACAGTCTCTTTTTCAGGTGTGCCTCTATGGAGCGCTTGCCATCAGGTATCACACTCCATGGATTTTCCCTTTGGGCACTTCCTGAAGGAGCTCATTTAGGTTAAAAACTTTGTTGCACCAGCTCTTCCACCAGTTCATTGTGAGATTCTAACTATTCTGTGCACAGAGGTGAGTTATCGTCTTGGAAGTTAACATTTTCCTAACCTGAATTTTTGTAAAGCATGTAGGTATTTTTGTAAAATTTTGATTAATAAAATGAATGTTAAATCATATTTCTTGTTATATCTTGTACAAAATAAAATTAAAAATTAGCAATTCCTCTATATCAAAATAGGTATATGATTTTTAAATCTACCACATTTATTTTATAACTTTGATCCCTGTGAATGTAATATAATAGTACATATTAAATATTGATAAGTTGCTTTGAGCTTGAGCATTTTGATGGTTACTGTTCTTTACAGTTTAGTACCAAATTCTTTGTTTTGGTTAATTTGTTAATTGATGTAGTTGATATGATTTTTATTAATATGCTGCATTACAATACTTGATTTAGGATACAGTAACACTGAAATACAGTTTGACGGTAGACTTAATACTTGTTTAAAATAACCTGCTGTGGTACATAAGAATAAAATTTTTACTTTTACAGTTATACAGCTAGGTAGATAATAGGGAATATGGCCCAACAGAGCTTTATTGATTATGATCAGAAGTTGGTGAAGTTTAATTCTACTCACCCATACTCATTTTCTTTCCACAACTATTTGCCAACATATAGTTTTGTAAGTTGAAAATAACAGTCGATACGCAGTAGGTAGCAAACCCATAACATGCAAATTGTATTGACGGGAGGAAGACATGAATGTTAGATTTTTACTTGAAAAACACAACTTCAAATACTTTTATTGTCAATAATTGAAGAAGATAAAAATTCTCAAAACTCCCCTCTTCTGCTTTTGTCTTGTATTCTGTTATATAAAAATAAAAACTGTTTGGTAATATGTTACCATTAACACAGCTGATGAGACCTGATAATGCTCAAAACTTCCTGTTCTTTTTCTTTATTATAATTTATATTAGCTAACAGATTTGAAGGGAATTAAAAAGGAGTTATCATGATTCTGCAAAGTTAGTATTTTGTTATAAATTGTTGAATGAAATAGTTGAGTTGGTGTGTTTAGAAACTGTTTAACATAAATAACTATAATTGTTTTCATTCCAGGGCTTTCATAACAAAACGAGATAGCTCTAATTGCTCGTTACTTGAAATTGTAGTTGATGAAGCTAACCAGAATTCATATCTCAAGGAAGCTGCACATACTGAAACAACAGTTGGGAAAGTTACATCACAGCTTTGCCATAAATATTCTCTTTGTGTTATGTCTTCATACATTGCCAAACCAAAACCTAGGGGACTTTATGTATCTGCATGAAATAATACATGTAGAAAAGCCTAATTCCCTATTTGTTATGTATAGTATTTGAAATTGTATGAATCATCAATAAATTAGGAACCTGTGAATGTATTGGTTTTTGTATAATGTTTGGAATGAGTTGTATGTATCTGTAAGATCAATAGCCAACAAAAATGTTTCCTTACCTTAAGGTAACCCATGTGAGTGGAATTATAAAAGGTAGAATTTATGCAAACTATAATATTACAATGGAAAAAATGTTGCAATGTGTCAGTTGTTTATCATCCAATGACCACATAACTACTCTATCTGTGTGAAATCATGAGGTTTGGAGGTGTACATGTTTACATTCAACATAATATTTTTGTATGATACATGAGCAAGTACTTGTTAAGATTGAAGGTAGTGCTGATAGCCTAGTGCCTGAAGCATTAATAAATCCGAGATTTTTGATAACATTACCTGTTTTTTATGCCACATTAGTCACAGTCTGATATAAGAACCTAAAAATAGTTTGGAGCATTGCAAAAAATATCAGGTGATGCCTTAATTGAAATATAATTATCAAAACTTTGAACCTATGCTTGTAAATTTAGGGATTACACAAAATGATTAAAGTGTGTTCAGTTTATATTTTATTGGTAAGTATTTATGGTAATAAAATATATATATATATATAGTATACATAGCTGGCTTTGATGTTTCTTATCATTAACCAATTAATACAATTTACCTTACAAGTAACGGGTGTAAAATACTAAACTTGTAAATTTGAATGTTAGTAACATTAATATGCCACCACTATTGGGATAACAAAGACATAGTGACTGTAACTGATTAATTCAAAACAAACATAATTGCTTCATAGTATATGATTCCTTTCTACTTTGTTAGAGAAGAAAAACTTGTTTCATGAAGAGATAACTAACATAATTGAAATTGTAAGACTTCAGTTCTGATGTAGTACTTGGAATCATTAGAGAAAGTTACTATGAAATAGTCAAGTTAGGGGTCTTTTCAAACTTAGATAAAGGTGTGAAATGTCCCGTGATGCATAAGTTTCATTAAGTTCTGTATGGGTGTAATTTATAATACATACAGTTTGCATGTTTAAATATATACTAAATATTATTCTCATATACAAGTATATATTAATGGAATACAGACTGCAATTGCTAATTCTTGCATCATGAAAGCAATTTTTAATACTAGGTTGGTTTGTGATGTTTTGCTGAACCTTGACCACTCATTGTGCAGTTCTTTGTAAATTATTGAGAAAAAATATATTTTCACTCATGATAACATCTGTGGTCACTAGTTTTCTTTAGGTTATCCATTATTTCTTCAGAATACTACTGCTATAGTCTCTTTCAGTTTGTGTTCAACTAATTTATAAACACTAACCCTACTACACAGGTTGGTAAAAAGAGTGTCACAATGTTTTAAAAAGTTATATTCAAAATTTAATTAAAAAGTATTATTAATATATGTCAATAAAATTACCAACAAAGATTAGATATATATTTATTTTAATTTCTTAATTAAAAAGGAAATATTCAACAAAAATTTTAAATATTCAGTTTTATGTGTTGCATGACACATCCATTTTCTTATTGTTCAATTTGCATTTATTATGTCTATGATACAATTTTTATAGTGTCTAACAAACTAGAAACTCAAACTTCAGATATTGACAAGCTAGAACTATAAAATATAAACTTCCCACCCTTTTTATCTGCTTATATATATTTTGCAAAGCTACCAAAGTAGCCCTTCCCATCTCGTCATTCTTTTGAAGCTACTTATTTACTCACACCTAATTCTCTTAAGTACATGTTTATAACCAATAGAAAGAGGACATTGTAAACAGTAACTCTGACAGTCATATATAATTTTTTGAAGGGGAAAGCCATAGTTCTGTTGGAAAAGTTGATGTGTGTTGACTAAGTCATTGCTCTGAAAAGAAATGAGATTCTTTTAACTTACATATTACAAAGGTAAAAAAAAAGACAACAGTTTGCAATTTACCATTCTGGTAAATGGTAATTTTTTGGTTTTTTAAGATGTATATTTGAAATCTACAAAAATTACTTTGTCTTAGCCTCTATTTGAGAGAATCAATGAGTCTTACAGCAAGGCTTAGTAAGTACAACACATGACTACAAGTTAATTTTTTAATATTATAAGTACTAGAATCATTGTGTTTGTGTAATTTCTTATTTATTGCTCTAAGTTTTAATAAATATAATTACTACTGTACAAACAAAAAGTGTATGAATCAAGAAAAAGTTATATAAAAAATATTTCAGTACAAAGAAACTTGTAAAACTAATAAGAAATAGTGTAAAAAACATCCTACAAATCAAAATGTGGAGATGTTATGGTCAAAGATATTTGTTAATTTTTAGAGAAACAGAAAGAAAAGAGACAAAAAGGAGATCTGATACTTTTACTCATTACATAAAATTTCATTAAAACTGTCATAACTGCTTTATTTGAACATAGAAAATAAATTGGCATTAACTGTTTCAGCAGATTTGGTTATATACTACGTAAAAGTTTAACTTTTTTGGAGAGTAGCATTTGTGTAATATTCTTCAATGTGTTTCATACAGAAGAACTCATTACAGAGTTTATATTGCATTTGTACCTTATTTTCTGAGAGGCACAGTCTGCATCTTTTCCTTTTCCCTTACAATTGTTGAGAAATGCCTGCTAAGAGTGAGTCTCAGTGGTGAAGAATCCTACACAGTTTTTGAGGTATGCCAGCAGGACTTGGTTTTCTTTGAAGTAAAGTCTCAACGGGGGTAGTGACCAAGTCTATTCTGAATGTCTTCTGGAACAATGCCAGCTGGTATGTCTACATATTGTAAGAATTCACTTACTGTTGGTGTTTCTAAGCTCACGTTTCAAGCTACACAAGCAGATAAGAATGGTGACTTATATTCCCTGAGTTGGATACCCGTCCATCACAGGTTAACCCCTCAGCTAACCGAGTTAAACTGAAATAATTTTTCAAAAAAAGTATATAATATTTAGAGTGATTAATGTCATAGTGATAAACAAATAACTATGCCTAGTAGTACAAATGGAGGCAAACAAGATAGCAGTTGACAACATTCAACTTAACAAACAAATGAAGAGACTAAAGATTCAATGCAATACTTTTAGATGGGGGAAGGGTAAAGGAAATGCTGATGAAAAAGAGCATATAAAGGATAGACATAGCAGTAAAAATAGTTATATAGTATACATTCTGCTACTCTAGATGGTGCTTGCTGTTTATCAGATTATAAGGGAAGTATCTTTTTCTCATGTGGAGGGGGTGACTGCTGTGATAGAAACCTGTACAGACAATGGGTTTCTTTTTGATGCTTTCCTATAATATTTTATAGTTACTATTATGAATGTCTTCAACTGAAACGATGTCTGAGACTTTTATCTATGTAACATTCAGTTTTTAACGTTTGCGACTGTGTTTTCCAACATTTTGCAAGTAATCATGGAGACATATTTCTTCAGTGGTCTGATAAAAACTCTACACGAGTTTTCGTGTGGATATTTTACGTCAGCAAACACAATTCCCCATCTTCTTATGGAGCAGGATTATATTGTACATTTTTCCCACGATTTCATGAAAGTAATTTTTCTGTGGAGTGCCCAAAAACTTAATTGTGTTAGTAAATGTAATGGGAATTTTATATAACTTTAAATGGACTTTTTGATTCTAGCAAATTTCTTATTTAAGCTTTTATAAAATATAGTTTTTTCGTCTTTTGATGGATTAAAAACAATCCGCTATTTTTGCGCCACGTTGTAATGTAGTTAATTGATTCTTAATCACTATTAGCTGCAAATGGGGGTTGTCTCGCCATGTTCGTCAGGCTGCTATATCATCAGCGTACTGTGCCTTGTGGTGGGTGTGGCATGTCATTAATGAAAAGCATGCATAATAGACTGACCCATGCAATTCTCCACCATTAAAATGTAAATGAGTGTGATAAATGTGGTGTAATACCGAAGAAAGTCGAGTAAGCTAATTTTGTTTTCTCCACATTGGCATTTGCTAGCTATTTCACTGTCTGTAAACATCCTTTTAAAGAGATCGTCTGAAGAAGAAAAAAAAATAGAGAGAGATTAATTTTATTAGAATCGGGAAGAATAAGTAGAGTTGTTTATTTACTGCAAAAAATTGAAGTTAGATCAAAAGTGAAGTCTTGTGATTATACTTGAAATCAAAATCTCTTCTAGATTAAGCTAGCAGAAGAAAAAAAGGAATTTAGTTTCTCATAGATTTTCATGTGTATTTATTAGTTAAGTTTTAGAAGCAATTTAAAATGTGGAATAACAGTATATCTCCGGTTTACCCGCGATTATAGTGACACAACAGTATTTATCACGTCATAATAATGTTCAGTAAAATGTTTTACAGTTTTCAATGTTCATTCCTATGTTAAGTTAAAGTTAGTTACAGCAAATTATGTTCTATAGCAACCTAAAATGGTTTTAATCAATTATTTTAGCTACAAACTAATGCAAATCACATGCAAAAACAAATAAGATTTCACATATGAAATATCAAGTTGTAAAAGCGTCCAGTGTCCAACCGGTGGCAGAAATAAAAAAAAAAGATCTGTATCATAATAAGGTAAAATGTTTAACGTTTTGCCAAAACTGGACATCTACAGTTTTTCGTTGTAACTATTTAATAGTTTTTATTTCTACTTTGAAAAGTGTGAACTGCAAATTTCAGCATTACGCACTCGT